CCCCAAAACCCCAAAACCCCAAAACCCCAAAACCCCTCTAATATTAATTATTTGTTAAATTATTAAATTACTAATGTCTGAAGACTCAAGTCATAGTGGAGGTAAGCAAAGTGATTGTCCATGATTTCTGTACTTGAGCATTCAATAGGGAAATCTCCCATTTGGTATGATGAACGAAGCTTAAGAATTATTTAACTATTTTTACTGAAATAATAATTTGGCTAACTGATATCAAATTTATTTTGCTAATTTTATATTTGAGATTTCAGGAGTTTCTCATAAGAAAACTAATAATACTGAAAATCTGGAGCAAAATTCCCAAAATTTGCATAGAATCTTTGCTAGATTGTCTAATGTTTCTTCCGCAGCTTTTAGGCTAATTCAGTAGATAAAAATCAACAGAAGGATACAACTAATCTGCTTTTTAGAGATTTATTCTTGAGAATTTGATGAAAAGGTCCCATATGCCTTTGAAAGTACAAGCACAGTCAGATATACGAATATTAGAAATCTTGGAAAAGACATTGCTGCTGAAAACCTACTTGAGAAATTTGAGACAGAGAAATAGACTAGAGGAAGGAAAGGTAAGAGATTTTGATAATTATGTAGGAGCCTATAGAAATGATAGAAGAAGCCAATAATCTCCAAAAGTACTCATTCCATTCACATATATAGCACTAATAATGATGGTTATGAGGAAGGGAAGGAGATCGTAGAGGAGTTACAACCTGAAGAATCCTATCATGGCAAATAATGTTAGATCCTCATCTCACAACAAAATATCAACTAAAACCAACAGCAGGAAAAAGAAGAAATAAATCAAAATTTGATAGCGAGAATAACATTCTTTCAACTGATGAGGAAGATAAGATGTTCGAGGTTGATGAGAAGGAACCGTATTCGACAAGATATTTGAAGGACCAGTAAGTAAACTTTTGACCTCAAAATAGCCCTGACAGTAATCCAAAGAGACCCAACCACGACGAGACGAAATCTACTGATATGTTTGTCAAGAAAGTACCCACTTTCTTCGGCCTAGAAAATAGTACTGAAGCTATAGAAAGTGATGAAGAGATTGAATCTGCTTATACTGAACTAGCCAGGGATCTCTTCCTTCAGAAGCTGGCGGGCAAATCTTCTTGTGATAATGTCTACAACCAGATGACAAATGACTACAAATTGAGAAGTGTCATACAAAAATAAATATGTTAATAAGAAAAAGCAGCGAAAAAGAGTCAACAAATTGGGAAGACCCAAGAGAAAAAATGTATGTGGTAGAGGCTACAGAGTCACAAGCATAAATTCACCCCAAGCAAGCTATCTGAAGGACCAAGGTAAGAGGAAGGATAATTCTTAGGAAATTGGAAAATAAGGACTCATCAAAATATTGCGAAATTTGATAATGGATTTGAGCCGATTATTGAGGTTCCTCACGATGAATACGATACTGGATCAAGTCAAAAGAGAAAGGGTAAAAAGAAATTAGTAGCAAAAATATCTAAAAGATTACATGGCCAGAATGTAAGAAACTTCCGAAGGGATTGAATTTATGATGACCTCAAGAGTACTCTAGAGACAAAAGGTTTCCAAAGCCCAGAGCAACCTCCTATCAAACTGATGAGCAGCAGGTCAAAAAAGATTTTGCATAATAGGTTGAAAAGCTCTATTATCAATCAATCAGAAGAAGGTTCCAAGATGTCCAAGATATTAAATACTCCTGTGCACGAGAGATTATTTGCTGATCATGAGAATAGAAAGTTACGAAAACAAGCTATAACTAAAGAATCTCTATGGAAAGGGCAAAAATCCCAAATATAAAGAAGTCTCCAATAGGATCTCTCAGCACATATAGGTCTGTAGGAAACCTTGGGATACCAGGGACTGACTCCAAGATAAAAATTTCTGAAAATCTAAGGGTTGCTTTCAATTCTTCCTCGGTAGAGAAGCCTCGCCAAAAGGCAATGCCTAAATCTAAGCGGGATGTAGCATCGATGGTTATTTCTAATGAGATTTCTAATAAATTGTACCAGGACGCACAAAGAAGACAATCGCAGAAGTATGAACGGATCCTGAGTTCTAAAAAGAAGAGAGATAAATCCTTGTCCGTTCAGACTAATGAAGTATCTCAGAAGTATTTGATCAAGAGGTTTTTAGGGGATTTCTCTAGAGCTATCAAATCACAAGAAATATTTAAAGATTCTCTCAGTTATCATGATACACAAGAGATAGTCAAAGAATTAGGATTCATGGCATTTCATAATGATCATGAATCCCAAAAGGAAAGAGTCTTGCTTTCAAATCTTTGGAGAGCTCTGGGTGGGGACCAAAAACCTGTGATTTCAGTCAAGGATCTGAGAGTATTTTTGGGATCTGTAGAAGGCTTCAAGTTCGACCCTGAAGACCTTGAAGATCAGGCTTTTGACTCCGTTCCTAGCATATCCAGGACTAATCCTGCTAGAACAATGGGTGCTCTCAACAATGTAGAAAATGATGACTACCACACAAGAGATTTATTCTATGGTAAGTATCGTCCAAATTTTTATCATAAAATGCATAGAAAATATTACCAAATCACAAATAAAGAAGATCCAAAAGAAATACTTCTTATTTGCAAGGAACCGATCGAATTATCTCAGCTATGAGAGTCACAGAAGACAGGCTGAGGAAATAGCAAGAGAGACCGAGATTAGTCATCAGCCAAATATCGATGATAATTCTAGGAAATTAACTCAAGATTTACATCAGAACCTAAGCCAGAATCATATCCCACACTATGAGTTCTTGCTCTTCAAAGGAAGGGAGTATGAAAGGAGCAAGAATGAGTCGATAACTATTAAGGAGAAGAAGGCACATAGTAAATGCACTTTTTATCCAGATGTCAGCATGACAACCAGTTTTTATACAAAATATAAGGATAAAATTAATGATAATAGCAGAAATTCTAAGTCAAATCTTAGTAAACAAGTTAATACAGCAACTTTGGAGGATACCACTGAGAAATTAGAGGTGGGAAATGTGGAGAAGAGGGGAATGAGAGGGTCTCCAATTGGCTTGAATAATTTCTCAGCTATTCCTTCTCAGAAATTGCTCAGCAAGAAGTATCAAACTAGTAAAAATAAGGATCATGACTCTAATAAAGGCAGCAGGTCTTATAGAAAATATAAAAAATTACAGAAGTTCTCGAATATTAAGAGCCAAAAGTCAGATGTTTATCAAGTCTCCTATAGTAGTTCCAATGTGACCCCATCGCAACAAATGCAAAAGGGAGGAAATCTTGATGAAAGTCCAATTGTCATATCAGAATCTAAGCTTCCTAGCGGAAGCTTGTCTCGTCGTAGAAGAAATCACAGGAATCAAGATCCAGGGTCCTCAACAGGTAAAGAGAGTCAGTTTTCAACTTCTGAGAAGAAGGGGCCTATCAACCCTCTTGAGGAAAACACCTCTGAAGAGAACTACGATGAGGAAATCAAAGGCAGGTTTTCAATCTAACTCTCTAGACACAATGGGCTCTCCAGAGAAAATAGACATGCTCCTTGCCCAAAATAGGAAGGAATATCTAGAAGATTCATCCCTCGACTCATTTAAGAAGAATGAAGAGCTAGCACAGGAAGAGGTCCTCCGAGAATCAGCAGAATATATTGAAAATCTGAATGATTTCCCACCCAAAAGATATCCTATTTTGTTCGTGGATGTCAACTTGGGAGAAGACCAAGTCGAAAGACTCACTGTATTAGAAGGAGACACCTCTAGAGAAGTAGCTGAGAAGTTCTGTCATGAGCACGGGCTCAATATTAAACTCTGAGAAAAGCTTGAACAAATGCTGGATGACCAGATGAAGGGAATCTTGACAAAGATAAATGAGGAAGAAGAACAGGGACCTGACTTCTCCCCTCGTGAATAACTTTCAACTGATTATGTATAAAATGGGGTTTTGGGGTTTTGGGGTTTTGGGGTTTTGGGG